CCCCAAAACCCCAAAACCCCAAAACCCCAAAACCCCTAATTTGATTAAAATTTTTGAAAATTTAAAATGTTTAGGAACACATATAGAGATTTCACATCCCATACAGATTCTGAAAACGTTCTTGAAAGCCCTAAAATTTTAGAACGGTCACCTTCTGCAGAAGAACCAAGGAGTATTCTTAAAAACTCTAGTAAATAAGGATGATAACTTAATAAAAAGAATTGGGAGAGATTCAATGGTGCGGTTCGAGTTAGAGTAAGATTTTCTATTACCTTTCAGTCAAATACCTCCTATTTCTCCCCCAGATTTTACAAATTTCAAATCCAGGACATTCAGAAGCTTAAATCTCAATGCTCTTGAAGGTGATCAGAACAAAGAAAACAGAGGTAAATCTCTTTTAATCTTCTAGTTAACACTAATATGTACTCGACTTCTCCTACCAACATGCACATTAACCCTTACTCCCGCACAGAGGGTGTAAGATCTCGCTCAAGTAGCCCAGAAAGCTACTCCGACTCTAAATTCAAACGTGCAGAGAAAATATTCGTACCTCACATCCAAAGCGACAAGAACTGGTACTCCAAAGAATATGTAGATGAACTTCAAAAATTCTATCAAAAAGAAAGGGAAACTCTTAAACAAAGAATTGACAGAATCTACAAAGAAAATGATGACTCCAAACTAAGGCTCCTCGATCAGATAGAAGACCTTAAGAAGCAAGCTCATGAGCATAAATTAAAACATAAGGAAGAGATTATACATGTCAACACCCAGCAATCTGATAAACTCACTAGGATCATGAGGGATAAGGACAGCCTGCTGGCGGATGCCAAGAACCAGATCTATGAGCTCAAGAGTGAAGTTTCCCAACTTACTGTAAAGTATACTGACCTGAACGAGGAATATAAGAGAGAAAAGTTTGAACTCCAGACTCAGATTGATAATTTGTCCCAACAGCTGAACAACCAGCTAGAAATCTTTGATTCTACAAGGAGTGATTATGAGTACAGGATCAAATCCTCAAGAGAAAGATACGAACTCGAAAAAGTAGAACTGAAGAAGGAATATGAGCAATTAATCAATAATATCAGGTAAGCCTACATGACTATGTCTAGATCCGAGCATTCTGGGTCCCATCAAGAACTTACTAATGTTATCAGAGTTAAGAATAAAGAAATAGACCTTCTGAGGAAGGAAATGACTGAAATCAAACTCTCCTATAATACTAGAATAACAGAAATGACTTCTGAAAACTCTGATCTCCTCACTTCACTAAAATCTTCACAAAAGTTAGCTGATATGCAGATGAGGGAGAATAAGAAGTTAATCGATAGAAAATCTGCCGCCAAAAGGGAAACTAAAATCCTTCAGAAAGAAATCACCCTGCTCGAACAGGAGCATCGAAGGGTTGTTGACAAGAACCAAGATCTTAAGGAAAGAGTTGATAAACTTGACAAATTAGTCTACGGTGCTAAAATGAGCAGTAGGAAAGCCAAGAGGTAAAACATGGATAACCTTCAAAACTTGTAATTTCAATTTTTAGATTTCGACTGGGGTTTTGGGGTTTTGGGGTTTTGGGGTTTTGGGG